ATTAAAATAAATATAAATGTGAATAATATAACAAGAGATAATATTAATTAATTTTCTTAAACTTAATATTGATATTTATCACATATTTTCTAGAATAATATTTTCTTATTTCCATAATTTTGCTTTATCTTTTTAACCGTCGATTTTGATCTATCTACTATTCCCCATCTCCCAATAGTGTATCTAAATGAAAAACTAATCCAATTTCATTTGAACATGACAAATTTTTCTTTGTCCGAATTGTTGATAAAAAAAAAAAAAAAACAAAATGTAGAGGTCTACTCAATTTTATCTCTTCTCAGTTCTCATAGGCCACTCCTTTATATATATATATATATTAGTATGTAATTTTATTTTGTTTGTCAGAACACATCATATATATACAAGCACTCATAGACGTGAGGCATTTATCTAACCCATTAGAAAACATATCAAAAACCCCGCAAGAGTTTTCACTGTCTCCACCAATGGCGGAATCAAGTTCTTCTCTCCCTCCTCTTTGCGAAAGGATCTCATACACAAACTATTTCCTAAGAGCTGTAGATCTCACGATTCTAGGCCTTCTCTTCTCTCTTCTCTTGCATCGAATCCTTCTTATGAGACAAAACGACACCGCATGGGTGGTAGCCTTCTTTTGTGAATCTTGTTTCTCATTCATATGGCTTGTTATCACCTGCATAAAATGGAGTCCTGCTGATTATAAATCGTATCCTGATAGACTTGATGAAAGGTGCCATTCTCATATACACACACTTATATACAGTACTAGCTAGTATCATTCATTATTTTCTGTTATCTTTTTTTCCAACTCTTAATTGATGAGTAGTGAATATTAAATAATTTTTTTTTTTTTTAATGGCCAGGGTTCATGACCTTCCATCGGTAGATATGTTCGTGACCACGGCGGATCCTGTAAGGGAGCCGCCGCTTATGGTTGTGAACACGGTGCTTTCACTGCTAGCCGTGAATTATCCGGCAAACAAACTAGCTTGCTATTTGTCGGACGATGGAGGCTCATCTCTCACTTACTTCTCTCTCAAGGAAGCTTCAAAGTTCGCTAAGATTTGGGTACCTTTCTGCAAGAAGTACAACGTTAGAGTTAGAGCTCCTTTCAGATATTTCTTGAACTGTCCGGCCGCAACAGTTGGTTCTGAATTTAGTAAAGACTGGGAAATGATGAAGGTAAAATATTTGTTTGATGATTATGTTTTTGGCGTATCATAACGTTTACGTATGAGTTAAATTTTTGCATCTCTGTTTACAAACCAAATTATTGCATTTACTGCCAAGACAAAACAAGGGTCAACGTAGTTATTATTCATACAGTTCAAAAAAATAAAATAGTTGTTATTCATCCATTATTTGTAATTAGGGAGATAACCTAGAACGAAAAAAACGTTAATCTTTCGAATTTGCGCTAACAAAATTATTCAAGATTTAGAAAAAAAAAAACGTAAGCGCAAGACTAATTTGTATCTTTTCGTATTACTGGGGACTTTCTTGAAAATGTGTTTTTTTTGGGTGATAATATAAAGAGTGAGTACGAGAAGTTATGCCGGAAGGTGGAAGATGCCACCGGAGATTGCTATTGGTTCCATGCTGATGATGACTTTAAAGCTTTCTCAAACACAAAACCAAATGATCATCCAACTATAGTTAAGGTTATATATATTTCTACAATATTTAATCCGACGTAAGAAACAAATAATATTTAACGTAACTATATAGTTGTTATTATTCACATAATAAAAGATGATTTACAACGATGAATGCTTGAGATCTTGTTTTATGTGAAGGTGATTTGGGAGAACAAGGGAGGTGTGGGAGACGAGAAAGAGGTCCCTCATTTTGTATATATTTCAAGAGAGAAAAGGCCAAATTACTTTCATAATTACAAAGCTGGAGCCATGAACGTTCTGGTTAGTGAATTTTCTCAACCATGTCTTATGTCTTCTTTTTGGAATTTTCAAAGGATTCGTATACGTCTTTTTCAAGCACTAAATGACATACTCACTTGATTAATTGAGCCCAACCATATCAAGTACAATATTGTTCCATGTCCTATATTTGGGTACTGCAATTACTCTTTACATTTTGGAGCATACCTCGCATCTGACAAATGACAATCAACATTAATTTTGAAAGGGTATCTAAGCCTAGGTCCATCAAAGCAGCTAATATTTTTGAGCATGTGGGAGTAGATGTTAAGTCCTGTCTGCATCGGATTGGTCGAACTAGGTCTCCTTTTTTTTGGGATAGCTAACAAGTATACGTACAAAAGTAAACATAGCTTATGGTTGATATTTTGTATGCGTCACATTCACATACCTTTAAGATTACCCTAAAATTGTAATGATGGAGCAGCGTAAGGCGAATTTGAACAGGTACGATTGTCAGGGATGATGACAAATGCACCATACATGTTGAACGTAGACTGCGACATGTATGCCAATGAAGCAGATGTGGTGGGACAAGCAATGTGTATATTTCTGCAAAAATCAACAATGAATTCAAACGACTGTGCTTTTGTTCAATACCCTCAAGATTTCTATGATTCTAACGCTGACGAACTCATTGTCTTACAAGCAGTAAGAGTCCTCTTCCTTACTTACTATTAATTTATTTATTTCTAATGTTGGTATATGTATTTCATTTAACTCATATATTTCTCTTGTTACATCAAATCTGTACTCAATCTTGGTTCTTTCAATATATTGAAATTTAATTAGTATGTATCACGAGGAATCGCGGGAATCCAAGGTCCATCATATGCGGGGTCAGGATGCTTCCACACTAGAAGAGTTATGTATGGTATTTATCTAGACGACTTAGATGACGATGGAAGTCTTTCTTCAGTTGCTACAAGTAAGTGCTACTGAGCACGCAAAGTTACAAGTGGCCTTGATTAATTAAGCTACATTATATAACTCTAAACTTTTCGTTTTCATCAACGATACTTACATTCATATTTAAAGAAAATCACAAGAGTTTGTTGGCATATCACGTTTTCATATAGTTAATGATTCCATCTTTCTCTTGTGTACGTTATATTATTAAGGGGACTATTTGGCTGAAGACAATCTAGCGAGAGAATTTGGGAATTCTAAAGAGATGGTGACATCAGTGGTCAATGCCTTACAAAGAAAATCAAATCGCCAACTCTCCTCCCTCACAGACTCTCTAGAAGCGGCTCGAGAAGTTGGGCATTGTCACTACGAGAACCAAACCAGCTGGGGCAAAACCGTAATTTTTTGCTCTATTTAATCACAATACATTAGTCCATAAATAGAGTAAATACACTAATCATATTAATGCGTTTGCTATACAATATATGAATTTGTGCATGTGCAGGTTGGTTGGTTATATGGTTCAACAACGGAGGATGTGCACACGAGCGTGGGAATCCATTCGAGAGGGTGGACTAGCTCATATATATCTCCGGATCCTCCTGCGTTTCTTGGGGCTATGCCACCGGGAGGACAAGAGGCGATGGCCCAGCAACGGCGATGGGCGGCAGGAATGCTCGAAATCCTTTTCAATAAACGGACTACTCCATTTGTCGGAATGTTTTTCCGAAAACTAAGATTCCGACAATGCTTGGCTTATCTTTACGTTCTCGTTTGGGGTCTAAGGTCAATCCCTGAGCTCTTCTATTGTCTATTGCCTGCTTATTGTCTACTCCACAACTCTGCCTTATTTCCCAAGGTGACTCTCTTTCTCTATCTACCTCATTAGCCAAATTTCAAATTGAGTAAATGACTAAGGGCCAAAGGCGATGATGATTCATTATACCAGTAGATAATTAATTCATCTCGATCTATTTCATACTTTCAATTATAGGAATAGTTATATACTTATATCGTATAATTAATCTAGGGTGAAAATTTTAATGTTTTTTTTTTGTTTATGGCTTTAGGGAGTTTATTTAGGTGTTATCATCGCCGTTGTGGGGATATATTGCCTTTACACTCTATGGGAATTTATGATCCTTGGTTTCACCGTTCAATCGTGGTTTATCTCCCAATCATTTGGAAGGATAAAAATCACCTGCGGTTGGTTATTTAGTATCCCTGATATCATACTCAAGTTTTTTGGAATTTCTAAAACCGTCTTCATTGTCACTAAAAAGACTATGCCCGAGACAAGGTCAGAATCTAGATCCGGATCAAAAGCTGATTGTCCAGACCAAGATTCCGGGAAATTTGAATTTGGTGACTCCCTCTATTTTTTGCCTGGCACATTTATCATGTTAGTGAATCTAGCCGCTCTAGCCGGTTGGTCGGCGGGTCTTCAACGGTTAGGTCATAGTCACAAAGAAGGTGGATCGGGTTTGGCAGAGGCTTGTGGATGTGTTTTGGTGGTTACGTTGTTCTTTCCATTTCTGAAAGGCATGTTTGAGAAGGGAAAATATGGTATCCCATTCTCTACTCTTTCTAAAGCTGCCTTTTTAGCAGTTTTATTTGTTGTTTTCTCTTTGGGAAACTAGTCTAGTGATATATGTGTTTTTTTATTCACATAACGCTAAGTTTATCATGAAATTGTCTCAATTGATAATAAATATGTATCTAAAGGACAAACTGGTCCAGTTCATTTGAATATGACAAATTTCTCTATCTCCGTATTCTTGATAATTGTTTAACCAACAAAAATCTAGAGATCTATTCAATTTTATCTCTTCTCAGTTCTAACCACTCCTTTTAATTATATAATAGTGTGTAATCTTTTTTTTTTTTGGTTAGAACACTAGTACTCATCATATATATACAAGCACTCATAGACGTGAGGCATTTATCTGACTTATTAGAAAACATATAAAAGAACCGCAAGAGATCACTGTCTCCTGTCTCCACCAATGGCGGAATCAAGTTCTTCTCTCCCTCCTCTTTGCGAAAGGATCTCATACACAAACTATTTCCTAAGAGCTGTAGATCTCACGATTTTAGGCCTTCTCTTCTCTCTTCTCTTGCATCGAATCCTTCTTATGAGACAAAACGACACCGCATGGGTTGTAGCCTTCTTTTGTGAATCTTGTTTCTCATTCGTATGGCTTGTTATCACCTTCGTTAAATGGACTCCTGCTGAATATAAACCGTATCCTGAAAGACTTGATGAAAGGTGCCATTCTCATATATTTACACATTTATATACACTAGTACCAATGTTATTTATACTAAATTTGTATAAACTGTATCGTTCATTATTTTCTTTTTATCTTTCTACTCTTAGGTGGAGTCCTAACTAGCCTAGCCATTTTTAAATTTCAGGATTCATGACCTTCCATCGGTAGATATGTTCGTGACCACGGCGGATCCTGTAAGGGAGCCGCCGATTCTCGTAGTGAACACGGTGCTTTCACTGCTAGCTGTGAATTATCCGGCAAACAAACTAGCTTGTTATGTTTCTGACGATGGATGCTCACCTCTCACTTACTTTTCTCTCAAGGAAGCTACCAAGTTCGCCAAGATTTGGGTTCCATTCTGCAAGAAACACAGTGTTAGAGTTAGAGCTCCTTTCAGATATTTCTTGAACCATCCGACCGCAACAGAAAGTTCCGAATTTAGTAAAGACTGGGAAATGATGAAGGTAAAATTATGGTCTGATCATTCTCTTTTTGGCGTATCATACGACGTGTACGTATTAATTTGATTTTGCACCTGTTTTTACAAACTAAATTATTAATGCATTTACTTCCTTGAGAAAACAAGGAACAGCGTAGTTGTTATTCATACAGTAAAAAAAAAGAGAAATTTTTCGTATCAGTGGGGACTTTCTTGAAAATGTGTTAGTTTTTTTGGGTGATAATATAATAAAGAGTGAGTACGAGAAGTTATGCCGGAAGGTGGAAGATGCCACCGGAGATTCCCATTGGTTCCATGCTGATGATGATGACTTTGAAGCTTTCTCAAACACAAAACCAAATGATCATTCAGCTATAGTTAAGGTATTTATTTTTCTACAATATTTTATCAACGTACAAAAACAAACGATCTTTAAAAGATATAATTATAAGGATTGATTAAGATTTTGTTTTATGTGTGTATGTAAAGGTGGTATGGGAGAACAAGGGAGGTGTGGGAGACGAGAAAGAGGTCCCTCATATTGTATACATATCAAGAGAGAAAAGACCAAATTACTTTCATAATTACAAAGCTGGAGCCATGAACGTTCTGGTTAGTGAATTTTCTTAAACATGTCTTATATATGTATGTGTTGCTTTTGGAATTCTCAAAAGGAAATTTAGAGAAAATTAAATGACATATCTACATCGATCCCCTAGGACGACTCACTATCACTCACTTGATTAATTGGGCACAACCATATATTAGTACTATATGTTCCATGTGATATAGAAGTGCAATTACTCTTTAATTTTGTAATTTTATATATACCTTGCTTCCGACAATTCACATTAATTTATAAAATGAAATCTTTTTGAGCAGGTGGGATTAGATTTTTTAAGCATATATAATCTTTTTGAGCATGTGGGAGTAGATGTTAAGTCCTCTCTGCATTGGTTTGGTCAATCTAGATCTGAGATCTCCCTTATTGGATAGCCAACAAGAAATTATTACTTTTTTAATTAGATGCAAAAAAAATCAAAATCATTAAAAATATTATATGTGCCCCCAGGTTAATTTTTGTTCTGGATCCGCCACAGGCCTAGTGTGTTACCATGCATTATGTGTTACTTATGCATATGCGTACAAAAGTAAACATATCTTAAGATTACAAAAAGTTTTTTTTTTGTAAGTATGTGGCGCATACAAAATGTTAATCTTAAGATATACACATTGCTTGTCGCACCGCATCTACAATCATATATATATAGTTGTTAAGATATGCTTACAAAAGTTAAGATATGCTTATCATATATTATAATTTATTTTATTAAATTCATAAATTAACTATGTGGCGTATACAAAAATATAGATTATATCTTTAATTAGATTGACAATAATTAGATAGTTAATATTATGTTAGCCTAAGACATAATATATGATAAGCATATTGAACAACGTCACTATTATTGTAGATCTTTATTTATTTATTTTTATTTTTTTTAACAAAATGATGATTAAAAATGTAATGATTGAGTACTACTGTAAAATGAATTTGAACAGATACGAGTGTCAGGGATGATGACAAATGCACCATACATGTTGAACGTAGACTGCGACATGTATGTCAATGAAGCAGATGTGGTGCGACAAGCAATGTGTATATTTCTGCAAAAATCAACAATGAATTCAAACGACTGTGCTTTTGTTCAATACCCTCAAGATTTCTATGATTCTAACGTTGATGAACTCATTGTCCTACAAGCAGTAAGAGTTCTCTTCCTTACAATTAATTAATTTTATTTTTAATGTTCCTTTGTAAGTGATATATTTCTTTTCGTTACATCTCAATCTTTGCTCTTTTCTATTTGTTAAAATTTAAATTAGTATATGGGACGAGGAATCGCGGGAATCCAAGGATCATTATGTGCTGGCTCAGGATGCTTCCAGTCTAGAAGAGTTATGTACGGTATTTCTCTAGACGACTTAGGAGCCGATGGAAAGCTTTCTTCAGTTGCTACAAGTAAGTGCTACTGCTTACTGCGCATGCAAGGTTACAATGGCCTTAATTAAGCTATGCTATGTTCTATATGACTCTAAACTTTTCATTTTCATTAATGATACTTGTTACATTCATATCAAAACAAAGTAAAATAAAATATAGTCTTCTCTTGTGTTATTTTATCAAGGGGACTATTTAGCCGAAGATCTTCTAGCGAGAGAATTTGGGAATTCTAAAGAGATGGTGGCATCGGTGGTCAATGCCTTACAAAGGAAACTAAATCCCCAACACTCCTCCCTTACGGTCTCCATAGAAGCGGCTCAAGAAGTTGGGCATTGTGACCACGAGAACCAAACCAGCTGGGGCAAAACCGTAATTCTCTGTTCTGTTTAATCACCATAGTCTATACTATAGTAGTATTTCACACGATATGACTAATAATGCGTTTGCTACATATATATGCATATTGTGCAGGTTGGTTGGTTATACGGTTCAACAACGGAGGATGTGCACACGAGTGTGGGGATCCATTCGAGAGGGTGGACTAGCTCATATATTTCTCCGGACCCTCCTGCGTTTCTTGGGGCTATGCCACCGGGAGGGCCAGAGGTGATGCTCCAGCAACGGCGATGGGCGGCAGGAATGCTCGAAATCCTTTTCAACAAGCGGACTACTCCATTTGTCGGAATGATTTTCCGAAAACTAACATTCCGACAATGCTTGGCTTATCTTTGGGCTTTCACTTGGGGTCTAAGGTCTATCCCTGAGCTCTTCTATTGTCTACTGCCTGCTTATTGCTTACTCCACAACTCTGCCTTATTTCCCAAGGTGACTCTCTTTCTCTCTCTACCTCATTAGCCAACCCATTAGATTAGCCTAGTATATATATACTTATATTATCAACTAATCTAGGGTGAAAAGTTTAATGTTTTTTTGGTTGTTGTTGTTGTTTATGGCTTTAGGGAGTTTATTTAGGTGTAATCATCACAATTGTGGGAATACATTGCCTTTACACTCTATGGGAATTTATGAGCCTTGGTTTCTCCGTACAATCTTGGTTTATCTCCCAATCATTTGGGAGGATTAAAAGCACTTGTTGTTGGTTATTTAGCATCTATGACATTACACTCAAGTTTCTTGGAATTTCGAAAACCAACTTCGTTGTCACTAAAAAGACTATGCCCGAGACAAGGTCAGAATCTGGATCCGCAAAGTCTCAACGAGAAGATGGTTGTCCAAACCAAGATTCTGGTAAATTTGAATTTGATGGCTCGCTCTGTTTTTTACCCGGCACGTTTATCGTGTTAGTGAATCTAGCCGCTCTAGTTGGTCATTCGATGGGTCTACGAAGATCGAGTCCTAGTCACAAAGAAGGCGGTTCGGGTTTGGCCGAGGCTTGTGGATGTGTTTTGGTGGTTACGTTGTTCCTTCCATTTCTAAAGGGAATGTTTGAGAAGGGAAAATATGGAATCCCATTGTCTACTCTTTCTAAAGCTGCCTCTTTAGCAGTTTTATTTGTTGTTTTCTCTTTGGGAAACTAGTCTAGTGACTGACATGTGGTTTGTTGGTTATGCACACATAAGTTTATCATGGCATTATTGTCTCAATTGATAATGCTATTTATATATAATACCTTTAAGTTTATTATAAATTTACTTTCATCATTTGTATAAAAAATATTTTTGTTTCTAAACGATTTAAAATTATATTTAAATTAATTGATTATCTAACCAATATTCATGTATTAAAGTAATTTTTTAGGACTAGCAACAATGATTTTATTTTTCAACACCTTCCACATCATATCATCTCGCTTCCACATTAGTTTCTTCTCTTCTACATAATAATTCAACACTCATTTTACACACTACAATAGTTTTGCTTTATAAAATACAACACCATACAGCATCAACAACTTACAATAAAAATACGTTTTTCCTGTCCAAATTAAATGAAACAAGTTTCCGTTAATAGAGTGTAAAAATAATGAATTCTGATATAAAATGTAAAATTAATAAATTAACTTAGTTTTAAATAATTGACTTTAAATTATTAGGAGAAAAATAAAAATATCAAAAATTTGTACAACCAATAATTTAATAACATGCGGTATCGATGGTCTCATTTGTTCTTTATTCAACATGTTCAATTCTTTCAACATGGTTTAATCTACATATTTGTTTTTATAACACCCTCGTTGTATGAATTCAACACCTCCATTGTATATAGTGTATTAAGAAAAATATCATTTTGTGGGACTAATTGACCTTAACAAATTTATGGATTTGACTAGTACACCCTGTTAGTACCTTTTTATGAAAATCTTTTGTCAGATTTGATTTAATATATCAGAAAAATTTATTTATAATATTATGCTATATATTATTCGACAAAAACAAGAATCTACTAATAATAGTAATCCATGTTCAGTCATAATATAAATAACACCTAATTGACCACAATACATAATTACATAGAAAAAACAATACTAGTGGGTCGAAAAGTGTCCAAAGTCCAAACTATGACCATGACTAAAAACTTAGAGATAACTAAAAAAATTAGAGAAATTTTAGCTCAATGTAATCTACTTCTCAATTAAATTTCTTACACTTGTCACTGAATAAGATAACTTAACACATGATTAAGCTCTTTCTCTGGTCAGAATTCAGAATTTAGATTTTCTTACAAAACAAAAATAATAATAATATTTAATCCAAATCTAACCAAAAATAAATAAATTTTTCTTTCCATGTAGACTTTCCCTTTTGGAAGTATTATTATTTTTTCACATTGACAATTAATACTAGCTTTTATTTAATTTTAACTTTTAAAAACAAGTCCTTAGAGGGTAATTTAGTCTTTTGTGATTTAAAAGTAATGCGTGTGTTGGCTTGTTCTATATAAGTTTTCTTCTCCTCCTCTCCACTCATCGACTGCCACAAATACAGTCATCTCTCTAGAGAAGCTGAATACATACTCATAGGGAAGAAATTATAAGAAAACAATATAAAGAATCCACCGGAGATTTTCTCCAGTCAATCCACGCCGTAGAAATGTTGAATCTACCGGATTCCTTGTATGAGGACTATAGTAAACTCAAGTTGACTTCTCCCTCCTCCTCCTATGCTTCTTCGTCCTCCGCTCCTCCTCCTCTGCCTGCGCTCACCATCATTCCTCAGCCGACCATAATGATGATTTTCCAGTGGATCAGTGATCTTCATAAACCGAACACGTTCGAATCTTATTTTGCGTTGCATAATCTCGCTCATGTATGTGCAAATACTCTTCCTTTTCTCTGATTCTCTCGTTCTTTTACTTGATTTTTTAGTTTAATATGTCGTCTATGTGTTTAATTCAACAAGATTTAGATTATTTGAGTCCAATGAACTGATTTGTTTCCGATAAGGAATCATCTTGAGATGATTGGAATATATGATATCATCACGATCCTTAAGACTTGTTTGTTTTCGCAGTCAAAAAGTTAGATTTTGTTTGTATCTACCTTAGATTTGGTTGATTGAGATGGAGTGGTCTTGTTTGTGAGTCAATGTGGCCCTTCTTTTTGGATAATCTTTTTGGGTCCTGTGAAAAACAATCATTTGTCGTTCTCTTTTTTCCTATCTGTTTGTCGATTTATCGGAAATATATCGGCAATTTATCGTGGGATCATCTCGCGATTTATCTTATCATATGAAATATTTAATTGCTATCCTCTTTTGTTCATATATGTTTGACTAATTTTAGCATTCTATCGTTTGTCGGCTTTCGCCACTATTAGGCTTTAGGAGATCTCACAATCTTTCTTACCGTCGTTTTCTAAATTATCATGTATTTCATGATAAGCTCTCCTTAGGTATATAATTTTTAAGCCTATATCTTGTTCTTCTGCTCATTCTTCGTTTATTCCGTCAAGTATTTATATAGATAAGAATGTGTGTAGCCTAGAATTTTAGTGTATCCTGCTAAATAACAATGTGAGTGGCCAAGAATTACAGTGTATCACCGTAGATAATAATTTTTTTGTGGTCAAGAAGTTATAAATTTTGATTTACTCTTGTGGTATTGCCAATTGTTATCCATTTAAATTCCTCTACAAATAAATGCTTTGCAAATTCTTTTCCAAATTCGCCATAGCTAGTCATATTTGTGGCCCAATACAGGTAAAGAAATTTTATCTTGGTACGACTGGCATATAAGGAAAACCGGAATTTGGATAACCAAAAATTTTGAAATATTAATCTTATCTGTTTTTGAGATTATCTTATCTTAGCTTTAATATTTCATTAGATAAGCAAAATATCACCATGCCTTTGTTTTTCCATAGGTTGAGTATCAATTCATTTAAAATTTAAGTTTTGGAATGTGACAAACTTATAATAAATTTAGTGGTGGTCAAGGACCATTTAAAACATTTTTGGGATGTCAACAACTCATATTATCTCAATCTTTTCTCCAATGGCAGCATAGGAACAATTTTGAGTTCTTGCCGTGCCTGTTATGGGAATCCCATGCTACTGCGTTCATTATGTTGCAGGTTAAGTACCGACTACTTTGGTTTCACATGATGACTAATGCTGATTTGTTGAACAGATTTTTTTTCTCAAAATCTTGGCATCTTTTTGTTGTAAACTTCTCTCTATTTGTGACACTGAATTTAAATTTCATTCTATCTATTCATCAGGATGTTATTGCAGTCTACAGACACATTGTAGGACACATCTCATCACTTCCATTTCCTCCTCCTCAGTTGAATCCACTTCGAGCGTACAATGTTTTGCTTTTGTTCCAGGTTCTGTTTTGGTCTCACTCACACTTCTCTTCATTAGCCTTAAATTAATTGTCTCTATGATGTTATATAATTGTTTTTTTGCCTGTTACAGAGCATAGCTTATCACCCAGAGACAAGAGGCCGGTTTATTAAAGGTATGTCTTTCTCCTTTAGTGCAATTACTCTTCACATGCATTTGCTACAAGATGATCAACGTTACATGATATATATATTGTCTTGCTTGGTTTGCAGCTAAGATGCCAAACTATTTGTTTCCTTTGATTGACGTTGGTGTCACTGAAAGGCCTTATGAACGCATAAGGCTGGCTGCATTGGGTGTCATTGCTCATATGTTGAAGGCGGTACATATACATACATTCTAAAACATTCATATTCTTGTGAAACTTTTGAAATCTCTATTTGAACATCTCACTTCTCTCTACACAGTCTCAAGATGGAGTTGCTGTTCGTTACCTTATGGACTCAAGTGCTGTTGGTCACTTGGTGAAAACCGTTGAGTTTGGCTCTACTGATTCAAAAACCGTGAGCCTTCTTCTACTCGTTTTGAATATAACAAATCATAGAATTAGAAAGAAAGCATTATATAATTGAGACTTGTATAATACTCTTCTTCTTCTTCTTCTTGTTCAGGTTGCTGCATTCATACTTCACAAGATAATGTCCAGTGCTGAGGGGCTTCAGTACTGCTGTGTCTTGGCTGATCGGTTTTTCGTCATCAATGATCTCCTTAAGAAGCTGCTCAACTATCTTGGTACCATGGTTAGACCTTCTCCAGCCTTGCTAAATCTTGTCGTTGGTTGCTACTCCAAGCTCTCTCAGAAATCCAGGTTTATATATATGCTACACCTTTTGATCTTTTTCAATCTTTGAAAATAAAATAAAAAAATCTTTAATTCAAAATGGTTTTCTGGTATGTGCATTAGGGCTCGTGATGGATTAAGGCGATACACTCCTGGCTTGCTGTTTGATGGCACCTTCGCCCGTTTAATTGCTGTAAGAATGAGATGTTTCTGTAATTGTTTTTTTTGTGTATTATATGGTTTTGGTTCATGCATGGGGTATAGTAAAGATTAATTGTGTTTTGTCTCTTTTTTTTTTTTTTGGTTTGGCAGGAGGATCCAGTCACTGAGAACTATTGGAGACAGCTGGTTCAGAACCTGGATAACATTAGCAATGATGTACCGGAGAGACTGTTTTCATTGAAGAGATGAAAACTCAATTTGATACACAGCGCGCCACAGGCCACAGAGAACGTAACAGGTTTACTACGCTACGCGTAACGCTGAAGTAATAATATGGTTTCAAAAACAACTATGAGAACTCAATCATATGTTTGCTGTTTAGTTTCATTTCTTGAGATTTCAGACTCTCTTAATACTCTCCTCCTTTGCCATTGTTGTCTCTTTTGGAAATACTTTTCTAGGATATTTCTATCTTCTTTCTATATTCCCCTTTTGACTAGTTTGCAATTTGATGTTCTGTTATTTTTCATGATTATTATCATGATTTTCACTTGCAGGAACACAAGGAATCAAAATATTTGAATAGTTTGGTTAGATCCAAAGCTTCATGTTCTTTAATGTACATGTGTTTTGACTCCTTAGAAGCTTGTGAGTTTACTATAACAGTGATTCCACTCACTAAACCAAACATTAACTCTAATTGTGGTCATTAGCCCTCCCTAAATAGAAACCTGTTTTATTCTAATGCTAAAATTAAACCAAAAGTGTTTGCTGCTAAACCACGAGCGTCCGAATTCGAGTGCAAAAGAGTCAAATCAGAGTCTCGCATCAGTCAAAACCAGAGTCACTGTTTGGTTCTTCAGTTTCCCCCACCACAAACAGCTAAAGTCCAGCAAATCACAGCTCGAATTTCGAACCCAGATCGCAGAATCTCGTATGGCGAAGCACACGGCGGCGCTAAAAGTCGGACTGGCACCTCACGGAGGCTGTAGACGTTTACGCCTCTTCTCAGCCTCTTCTTACCATCCCCGAAGGTAAATCACAAACGCCATTGATTGGATCTTGCTCCATCGGCTGCAAAGTTTACTCATTTCCCCTGAGAAAATGAGAAAAATCAGTACTTTTCATTCAGTATTTGGTATTGTAAACTATTTCAAGTAAGAACAGAGTAGTAGCTGTAGTGGTTGGTTAAATTTCTGGTGCTTGAGTTGGTAGATGGCTTGCTTCACCTTAATTAGGGAATTTACAAGAATCGTGTGTCATCAGATTCTGAACAATCTTTGACAGTGTTGCTGTTTCTCTGATTATTTTGGATTGATGAGTAATCAATCATCAGTTTATGTCTCTGAAGCTGTAGTTTGGATCTTAGAGATTTTAAGTTTTGTAGGCTACTGATAACAATTTTAGTTACCAAGTTTGAGTCTTTGAGGTCTGACTTGCGGTGTGGTTGAGCATCTGGTTTACTTGTTGTATTGTATGTATGTGCTGCGTTTTATAATCCTGATCCGGTTAATATGATTCACTCTAGTGTGAATTCATGGAGGTTGATTGTGTTGTCCACAATGCTTTGTGATCATTGCTTCTTTACAATTTACATAATTGTTTCTTTACTACTAGACTAATCCCCTACTCTTCTTCCTCCTTCTCCTCTTTCCTCTTCATCATTGGTTGTTTATGTTTTTATACATAATAAAATAGCAATATAGTTTTCTTTGTCTTTTAATATTGTAGGTTCAGTGAACCTTTTGTTCTGTCTGCCCAGATCCAATTCTATCTCCTCCCACTGTCCTTGGAAATCCCAATGCCACCTCCACCACCACCAAGTAGACCTTTTCTACATTATTCTTCTTTTTTATATTATTTAATAAGTAAACCCCCTTCAATTTAGGCTTTGTTTGCAAGGCATTTTCCTTCCTGTAATCTGGGTTTTTGTGGGTCCAACTCTCTCCCTCTCTATCTCTAGATTTCAACAACTTGGCAACTTCATTCAATTTCAAGTTCCAAAGAGAGAGAGAGAGAGAGATAAAGAATTATTTAATTGTGTCCATGAGTTGGTTAGGTGATCCTCCAATTCCAATTGGCTATCCATCTATCCTCTTCTTCCATTTATACTCTTCAGAAACAACAAAAATCAAAAGGCAACACAATAATACTGTCTAAATGCTTCTCTACTTTCTCATAACTTGTCTTTCTTTCTTTTTCTTTGCCAAATCTCTATCCCTTCCTCCATGGGCATCTGAAACCAAAACCTTGCTCTCCTTCTACTTCATCAAGAATCCCTTAATGAACACCCTACATCAGACCAAACAAGATCTAGCCTCTCCGGTGCTTGACCAAATGTCAGTCCTTGACCTCCCTGACCTGGCTCTTGACTGCATTCTCGACCTTCTTCCACCTTCTGGACTCTGCAGCATGGCTAGGGTCTGTAGCTCCTTGAGAGAGAAATGTGTGAGTGATCATCTCTGGGAGAAACACTTGAAGGCCAAATGGGGCAAAATCCTTGGCCTTGCTGCTCACAGAGAGTGGCAATGCTATCTCTCTTCCACAGATCATCTTGATTCTCCTCATCACCAAACAGGACATCTTGGTGTTGCCAAGATCATCTCTCTGTTTCGATATCTTTCATCCGTTTTCCGAGATGACAAACAAAGGAAAGGATATGCATCTTCTCTGCCACTTGATTCTAGCATGAGCTGCTACCTCTCCCTGGAAACAGGTCGTTTTTGGTTCCCAGCTCAAGTTTACAACCGTGAGGTAACTAATTTTTAAACTTAGTTGTTCCATCTAATGCCTTATGGGTTTAATAGAAGTACTGAGACCCCTTTTTTGGTGTAAGAGCAGAATGGGCATGTAGGGTTCATGTTGTCTTGCTATGATGCTGAGCTCAGTTATGATACTCACACTGATACTTTCCAAGCCAGGTATAAAATATCCGATGTCCACATTTGACACAAACAAAGTTTCTTATTTCTCATCAAAAAAAAATTATTTATTGGGGATTTTAGGTATCCACCACATGGTAGACGAGCAGCTGCGGTTGAAAAGGGTGTGACATGGGATAGACTGAGAGCAGCTCCCATTGATGCATCCCCTCATCATCTCCATGTGTCAGATTCGTTAAAAGAATTGAAACCTGGAGATCACATCGAGATCCAATGGAGAAGGAACAAAGAGTTCCCATATGGTAAATAATAATCTATGATACTTGTGGTTTAAACAGCAATCTGATTGTTGCTCAAAAAAAAAAAACAGCAATCTGATTCTGAAACAAGCTTCTGTGATGTTGTTGTGTAGGATGGTGGTATGGTGTTGTTGGCCACTTGGAATCCTGTGATGGAGATCTCAACCATTGTCATTGCCATCTTAACGGTGAGTTCTCAGCTTCATCTTCATCTTTCTGTGGTTAAAAAATCGAGTCTTGGTTGGTTGTTTCAAAATTTGGCTATCATATTCTATACTTTATACATTGTCTCTGCTCATAAAGTCCATTAAATTCCCAAAACTTAGTTGAAAAGGGTGAACATTGAAGAGAGCCAATTCAAGCTGTGCCTTTTTCTTGTTAAGATTGGTCCCAAAGAGACAAATGATGATGATGATAGGATATGTCTTAATTTTCCTTGACATTTTGATAAATGTATGTCTTCAGTTGATGTTGAAACATCTACTTATGTCCTTATCGTTGGAATCTACAGTACTAATGGTGGTGGGGCAGAACAATGATTCTTTGTCTCTTTATCACTCCAAAAAAAAAAATCTCTTCCTTCTCCTTTTGCTGGCACATTACATAACCACATAAAGTAGATTTTAATTAGAAAAGGATAATATCTTGGTATTTCTCTCTGCCCACTTCATCTTGGTTCAACCTTTACCCCCAGTGATCATAAGGCATTTTCTATTGATATTGTGTCAAAAGTGTTTCTGTATTCATATGCTGTACTAAATGGTCAAGTGTTGATGAATGGTAAAAACAGATATGGCAGTGTTGGAATTCAACCAGTATACAGTTGGATCGAGGTGGAGAAGAACGATGATCATGAGAGATCATAAAGAGGAAGGTAACGAAGAAGACGGGTTCTATGGAGGAATCCGAAAGCTAAATAGTAAAGAAGAGATTGCAATGTGGAAGCATCACTGGCCTTGCTCCATCTTGGAGTAGTAGTGAATAAGCTTTGCTTAAACAATTGGGGAAAGAGATTAAAGAACACCAATTTACGGAGAATAGGATGTCCATTATAGAAGTGTGTTCTCTTTTATCCACTGTATGATTGATCGTTAATTATTTGTTGGCGAAATAGTCAAAATACATGGAAACTATTATTGTCACTTTGATAAGAGTTAGTTCAATTTGATATATATGGTGGTGTATAGGGAAAATTTAATACAATTGATTTGAATCATCAAAGAGGCATCTTGGGTTTTATCTTGTTGCTGCTTTATACAATTTGATTTTCTGGTTTGCATACACTCCAGTCTTGCTGTATGACAGCACCTTTAACCCGTTTACTTGTTGCAAGTTTGAAAGCTTCTGTTGTTTTGGACCCAGCAATAACTACGGGAAGCAGCTGATTTAGAATCTGAGGAAGCAAAAGGGATGAAGTAGCAGCAGAGACAAATAACATTCGGTATAGGTTATTTATATCAAAAGCGTCATGTTCTTTAGATGAATTTGTAAAAGAGAATAAAGCCTTGATGATATAATTGTTGGGAAGTTCTTGTTTTGCTTACCTTCTTAGCTGGTTGACCCAGTAGGACTTATAGAAAAGCTTTCCTATAGGTGCGAGACCATCAAAGTGAAGATCTAGGTCCTCTCTAGATAACACTTCTCTCTACATGGCAGAGGGATCATAGGTATCTTGAAGAGGCTTTTGTTTTCTCACTGGTTCACCATAGATATTCACCAATCCAATCAATATCAACATTATACATGGCAAAGTTCCATAATCTCCATTCCTATCTCGAGTCCTTTCTTGTTTTGACGCCTCATCAGTACCATCGCCAAACAAGTCACCTTGGAAGACTAGGAGTGGAGTATTCTCCTAATACTTCTGGTCATCTTTTCATAGAAACAAAATAGCAACATAATCCTATAAGCTATAAGACTTGGGACTTAGGAGTATCCTACCTAAGACTCATCTTCAACAGTCAACAGAGATAAGGTCTCCTCTACAAGCCTTCTAGATTCAACGGAGTGTGAACATTAGTAATGTTACATTACTATGTGTAATAGTCAAAAACATCACTGAGTAAAACTAATACAGTCAGATATATCATATTAACTCGCAAGTTACATTTTTTAATGGTCCGTCACCTAAAATATAGAAACCTGTTTGTTCAGTTGGTTTAACACCACCGACACCATAATTTGAGTGCAAGAGTCCATAAGAGTCTTCAAATCCAAATCTCCTTACTGCAACAGCTAAATCCCAGCTCAAATTTGGAACCTTTTGTAAAATACCCAGATAGATCTTGAGATCTCTTCTATGGCGAAGCACACGGCGGCGTTGAAATTGGGACTGGCTTTACTGGCGCTGAGCATGATTGGTTACATACTTGGTCCGCCGCTCTACTGGCACCTCACGGAGGCTTTGGCTGTTTCAACCACTTCATGCTCTGCTTGCGTCTGTGATTGCTCTTCTCTGCCTCTTCTCACCATCCCCACAGGTAAATCATTATTGCCCGTGATTGGATCTTGCTTGATCGGCTCTCAAGTTTACAGATTTACGCTGAGGAAATGAGCAAAGCTAGTACCTTTTTGTATTTGGTATTGTTAGTAGTTGGTTTTAAGTTGCCAGATCGCATGCTTCAGCTTAATTAGGGAGGGATTGAGTTTGAATCTCAATGCAGATAGACTATTGTGCTAGCTATGTTTAGCTGTGTAGATCTACAAGAATTGTGTCTCTTTGGATTTTGCAGTGTTGTCTCTTCAATTATTTGGTTTGATAAGTAATCAGTGATAGTTTATGATCTTCTTAGGCAATAGTTTGGATCATAGAGATTTGAAGTTTGCAGGTTACTTTTTCTTGCTTCAACAAATTAGTTACCAAGTTCCAGTCTTTGAGGTATGATTTGTGGTGTGGTTGAGTATGCGGTTTAGTTGTTGTGGCTGTCTAATAACAGTGTGTGATTCACTCTAATGAATGTATGATGGTTGATATTATTGTCCTGTGTATTTTTTGGAATATACCAAAAACAAAACGCCTTAATACGTTTCACTTGTTTTCGTTTTATTGCAGGACTCAGCAATGGTTCATTCGCTGGTGAGTTTTTATGACTTTGGTTTGGATTCATCAGTTTTTAAAATTTCTGTTCGCTTGCTGTAATTTACTTAGCATTAGATTGTTCCTGTCAATTTCGGAAGAAAATTCTTGACTCTATTTTAGTATACGAGTTTATCAAGAACGTCTTGTTCTTTTTGATGTGCAGATTGTGCAAAGCGTGACCCAGAGGTGAACGAAGACACAGAGAAGAACTATGCCGAACTCTTAACAGAGGAACTGAAGCAACGTGAAGCAGCATCAATGGAGAAACACAAACGAGTGGACACAGGTCTGCTAGAGGCCAAGAAGATAACATCATCTTACCAAAAGGAGGCAGATAAGTGCAACTCAGGTATGGAGACTTGTGAAGAAGCAAGAGAGAAGGCTGAAAAAGCACTTGTGGAGCAGAAGAAGCTGACTTCAATGTGGGAACTTAGAGCTCGTCAGAAAGGTTACAGAGATGGAGCCAAGTCGACTGTTAAATCCAAAAGCAGCGTTCAGGTTTCTTAAGGACACACCTAAGCTTTTGTATTCTTATCACACAAAAGAGAGCTCGAGGTTCAGTGTAACTGTGAATTTGATTTATAATATTGTATTTTAGTCCTCTGATGGAGATAAATCATTCAGATGGAATGGAAACATTGTACCAAAACAACAAAGGATTAATGGATTTTGAACAAACTTACTACACACAATCAAGTCATTACATTTTGAACTTCTACCAGAAAAAAAAAGTCATTACATTTAAATACACCAAAAACTTCTTACGTTTAGCATTGAGCTCAAGGAGCTCTTGAAACACTTGACTGCTCTTCGTGGTCGCTCTTCACTCAGGCAAGGTGTATTGTTAGATCATCCAAGGCTTGAGAGCCAACGAGACTGAGATTGTGCTCATTCGCTAAATGCAGCAGACAGATGAAACATAGATGTGGTGAGATGTCTTGGGTAGAACCAGCCGCTTGGCAATCATCAGGAAAGCTAGCCAGTAGCTCTTTGAAAGATCTACTTTCAAGTGGTCCTTGTTGGTGTTCCTCATCCTGTCACAATCAGGTTCTCTGTCAAGTTCATAAGCAAATCTGACAGAAGAGGATGCTACAATTGAGCATGTTGGGTTTACTAATTAGGACGTGAAAGTATATGAAAATGTGCAGTGAAATTGTATATATCTTGACAAAACATATGGCGATGTGAACTACAATGACGTGTCAGAGAGCTGGTCAGGTCAAAGGAGCTGATAGAAGAGTTTATCAGAGTGGTCATAGGATAATGCATAAAGAAAGCAGGAACTATGTTTATGTTAGCTGAACCTGAATTGGTTGTTGAGGAGATTCCTGAAGACACTCCCAAAGAGTTTCCTTTAGCACTTGGACATCAACTTGTTTTGAAGCTTTATCGTATTGGACCTCAATTTTGTTGACCTAGAGCATGAATTGTGTTGAACAATCACAACAATGTTTCATTGCTAACCACAGATAGCTAAGCCTTTTGAAATTATATTGATTTGTAAGGTCATAACCATGTAGATCAGTATTCATACCTGGCGTGGCTGAGAGATTAATGAGTTGGTATCTTCTGCATCACTTTGATCATTTCCATTATCAAATGGGCCATCATCATATGCGTTATCATTTCCCCAGGATTCCGCATGTTCATTATCATCAAACTGCTGCCTTGAAGTTTCAACTGAAATATGCACATAACAAAACAAGTGTAACATAATTATATTTTTTCCTATATCCCACGAACAGATTTCAGAGGTAATTTGTTGAAAACCCATTTTCTTTGTAAAAGAAATATTATCTTTGTAAAGATAACAAAAACGCTGGTAAAATGCCTCATAAACCACCAAGGACGCCACCGGTGAAGATTATCTTAATGACTAGAATTGTTACCTGAGCATTTTCTTTTTCTCCTCCCGAGGCACTGTTACCATTCAGAAAATTAACTTCAGAATAAATGATACACAATGGAGAAAGAAAAGATTAAAAAAACAATAGCAATATAGTGACTGGATCTGAATTTAGTAAAGCCATACCATGACATTCGGTAGTAGAAATAGCTTAATTAGATTCTCGGGCTGATAATGGCAATCCTCTGGAAGCTTTGTCTGACAAAGAGTTCTACTTGCTGGGAGAAGTAAAGACTTTGGGTTTTTTGGAGGGGCAAAAATATCAGGCATTTCTTCCTCCAAAGCTTTTGTAAAATCTAGTTCAGGCTCTGCTTGCTTTTTCTTCCTGGTTTTCTTTGCCGGTGGAGAAGATTTGTTTTCTGAAGTAGGATGATCATCTGGACCTGCAAGAGAGTCCAGATAATGTAAACCCTAAAAGAAACTACATAACCAAGAGGGCATGTGCTATTGCTTAAAAGTGGAGATATAAGCGCATACCTTTCGTTTTCCGATATTTCCAGTGATCAGGACCGGCCCAAGAATTTTGCTTAGATGTTATTCCCAACGACAAGAAGAGATAGTCATCAACATTCTCCAATCTGTCATCTGAATCCATGTCTTGCAGTGAGGCTGGTTCAACTTCCTGCAAAGTGGGAACATCAGAACCAGGTTTTTAGTACCAAAGCAAACGCATTGCAAAACAAGTGAAAGTTAGAAGAATGATGGTAATAACCTCGTGAAAATTTGAGTATGTTGCTTCTGCCTCATTAAAGCCAAAGTTTTCATCAACGTTACCAGACTGACCCTCATAATCAAAAGAAGTTCCAAAGTTATCATAGCCTTCTTCATCGTCGGCATAGCTAGCTTCATTAGTATGTGAAATATCAAATGACTCGGTCGTCTGACCACAAGAAAACGTATCAGGTTGTCTTTGGTTTTCTTCATCAAATTGATTGATTATATCCTGAAGAGAAGGTACAATCTCATCCTTCTGTCGCATGTTTAGCACCATTTGCTCCACACATTCTACAAATTTAACCACCACATTAGAGAAAGAATAATGCAACAAAACATGTAAAATTATACAGCGGGCATATCAGCCAATAAAACCAGACCTTTAGCAAAGGATAGATCAATTGTTTCTGATTTATCATGCTGATTTGCAAACGAAACAAGCTTTCCAGGGATTTCTTGTGAATCAAATAGAACTTGGCATCCTCCATAGACTCCTAAGTTGTTAAGCAGTAGACCCTTCGCTCCACCTTCATCGAACTGTGCTGAAGTTTGATGATAAAGGGGATCCACTGCGAATGCCACTGAAAGAAACAAGGACATAACATTATCATACGAAACTTTACTTTTTACAACCTAACAAAGGGAGTTGTGTTAAGTTAAGCAATTACCATCGAACTTCTTCACGTTAAGGGCATCAAAGGATGGTTCCAATGTGGATAAAGGCGACATCTGCAAGTTTGAAACTCATCAGTAAGTAGTTTCATCAACAAAATTCAAAAATTGGGATTTCTGTTCGAGCTACCTTTTTCTCTGTCTGTTTCTTTTGGTTAGTCTCATTTCCAACAGCACCAGCAGCATCCTCGTTATCTAGGTTCGTGAAGAAACATCAAAAAATATATAAGATATAGTTTTACTTGCAGTACCTACTTTAGAAATTAGAGCTCGAGAAACTTAGAAATTCAATGCATTGCATAGCCAATAAATGTAGTTCTTCAGCTGTCTCCATTTCTAATTGATCATCAGTAATTTCAATTCTCATACAGAAGTCAAACAATAAGAAACATATTCATCTGCGTATAATCCCAAGACTAGTTTGGCAAAACCAAATCCATATCAGTAAACAAACATCTCCAAAAATCGAAAAAGTTTGTCTGTTAAAAGATTTGACTTGCAAATTTAACGTAAGTGTTAAAGATAACATAGTTCATTGTGTAAGATATCGATACCTCTGCTGTCATCTTGGCCAGCACGAGTAATTCCACCCAAGACCTTGTAAGCCTCTGAATGAACTGAGTCTACCCTCATTGAGTAAATCTTAACTCCAGCTTCAAGAGTGCAACTTGCCTGCCTTGGACAAACACAAAAATTTCTTAAACATGATTCTGACTCTAAGTCTTCCTTTTCAGTTTATTGTATATTCTTAAAAGTCTTAAAAGCTTTTGAAAGAAAAAAAAAAAAAAAAGCTTACCTTCTGAAAATTGGTCTCTGCATTGCTCTCATCTTCTACTTTGATAATCTCACAAAGATGGTCGATCAAATTCAACTCCCACGTATTCTTTTGATTGATTTTCTGTTTAACACAAAACCCTCATAACATCATTTTAAAAAACCTTCACCAGTCCACTCCTATGAATACCAAGCATCAACAATTTTTTTTTTTTTTAATTCCCCAAAATCCGTAAGAACTTGCAGGTCTAAACAAAGATTATACTGACTAAAATACTCTGAAGCATAAATCTCATCAGAAGCATATTCACCCAAAAAAGTAACCTTTACCCACGAATATTCATATTCTACTTGCTATGACTACGGAAAAAGAGAGAGAGAGAGAGAGAGAGAGAGAGAGAGAGAGAGAGAGAGAGAGAGAGAGAGAGAGAGAGAGAGAGAGAGAAAAAAATGGTTTGCTTACGTTTTCACTGGCCAATTTGATACAGTTCTGAAACAACTCGAGAATTTGCTGTTTGTCAAAACACGGATCTGACTCCTGCTCAGGCTGCGGGCCACGAGCGAAAATGACAGACCTACGACGGCTTGCAGCAGCTCTGGCGGCGCGAGCTTGTTCCCGTTCCAGCCTGTCATCGTTAGATCCTAAGAAGAAGGGACTCGTCGGAGCCTGGATTCGAGTCGCCATCGACGCAGGCTTTTGCTTAGGGTTTGGAGTTAATAACTCATCCATTTCAGAACTTCTCGGCTTCTAAATGCTCGTTGAGTGAGAACGAACACTTGAAAGACGACGAAAATGCGTCCGTTGGGTTCAACGGGAGCTGAGTGGATCAGAGAGAATTCAAAGTAATTTGGGAATTAGGGATTTTGATTTTTGATTTTTGATTTTCCCTCTTCTTTACTCTTTTGAATTTCAGTGACCACTGCTAAACGCGGAAATACAAAATTAACCCCGTCGCTCAATTGTAAGTGACATGGCACATTCCATGTCATCATCGTCAGACACATTTGAAATAACGTCCGGTCTCCAAATCGATAGATACGGTTAAAATTAACTGGCTAACCGATATGAGCCGGCATTAATTGTACTATTTAGCGGATAACAAAACTGTCAAAGCAGATAACAAACTCATCACAAAAGGTATAACTAGAGAATTAACGATACATCTGTGGAGAGATCAGCTTTGAAAATTTATTTCAAAACAGATTTGATATTTTTCAGTCAAAGAGCACACTCTCTTATGCATAGACCATGGATCAGAGTACTGTGTTTTTTTTAGATTGCTTCTCTGGTTTCACTTTCACATGTTGGGATGTCCGAAACCTCCAGGAGCTGGTGGCATGGGCCTAAAACCATTATTTGCCATTGGAGGCGGTGGCGGTGGTAGTCCACCAGATGGAGGAGGTGGTGGCGGTTGTCCTTGAGGCAGTGGTGGTGGTGGTGGTGGAAGACCATTGGCTCCAACAGCCGACTGAGGCTTGTTTGGTTCTGGCTTGGTAGGCTTGAAATACACCTGCAGCTGTATGGTAACAAAGTTTCCTTATCAGTATTTTGATTAATTCATATATAAACTTATCCAATCTCGGGCAAACAAACTTAAGCTATGTGTTAATGATAATTATGATGACAAGCACTTACAGTAAACATTTTGGAGTCTGGATCCCAGTGAGAGAAAAACTTTGGGGTTGATTTATCAACCTCTGTGCTAGGAACCTGAAACCAAGTGAAGCACACCCATCAATATCAGCAAAATATTCGACTAAGATATGTTGACCTAGTAGTGCTATACTCCCTGATGACTTGTAGAGTGTAATTATGTCCCGAATAAAGAAAACAAACGTACCTTGAAAGCTATAATTTCATATGGTTCAGCTGCAAACAAAAGGTATTGATATCTCTTGTCGTACGGTTCAACTTTCTGCACAACAGAAAGAAAAAAGAAGTATTCAGGCAAGTGAAGGAAAAGAAAAGCTTATGAGATAGACAAGGAGTTGTAAAACTCACCTGCTCATAAGATGACATGAACCGATGTCTTGGCTTTATGTTGTCCTCTATCTCAGGATATTCAATCTGTAAAACGAAGACGAGTAGAGAACAAAGCTATTAACAATTCACTCAAGATGAATCTCTAATGATGCTGGATGAAGTTTGACAAGAAGAATTAGATGCTTACCTGGAACAGAAGAGATCTTTGTTGCAGCTCGGGGTCGTACTGTTTTGTAACCCGGTACCCTGGTCTACCAATTTTAACTGCAATAACATAAATAAGTTATAGAATTTAACAACAGAACCTTTAAAGCTGATATTAAACAAAACCTATGTACCCAGTACCCAATAGCAACGATATACAATCCTGCAATTACATCATCCCCCAATAAGCTAAATAACTTCTACACCAATCAGTATCCAGGCCTAGACAAATTTGGCATCAATAATGAGAATAAAGCTGTATGTTTCAGAACTAAGTCAACAAAAACAACTTATTACCTGTTCTGCGAACTGAAACTTTGCGCTTGAGTGGCTGTGGCTGAGATACAGCCTCCTTTGCCTCACGGGCAGCTCTCTTTGCCAAATTGGTCTGATGCCTCTTACCTTGAGTATGCGCCAAGTAGTTCCCTTCGTTGTTATGCAGCGTTAGACATAGTTTACACTCATAGCTTCACAAAATAAACACAAACCAAAGAGAACAAATCAGTGACATCTAGTATAAATAAAAACCCTAATTCAAGGAGCAACACCAATCAAATCAAACACCAGAACTATGTCATGCACAAAAATGGATACACTACCAAATACATCTATCAGAACAAGAATGAAGATGAATTGCCTAAGTCAAACTAGCACATTCTTAATTCCTGTTAATCATCCTAAAAATGAATCTGCTACTAGTGTCTATCCGCAGGTATACACATAAACACAAGAACATATACATAGAAACGCCATGTAAAACACACCTTCCAAGATGATTTCGCATGAAATAAGGATCTTTAGCGAGGTCTATGGTTTCAAGAGCAAGACGACGGAGACGCTCACGGCGATCTATGGCCTCGTTTTGGCCGGAGGCGGCGCCTCCACTGCCAGGCTTCGAACCCCATTCTCTATCCATAGCTGTCGTATACTTCAATCTCCTTTCACGCTCCCAACTCTATCGCTCTCGATTGCTGAGACACAGAGAGAATCCCCTCGAAATTTGGCAATTCCGGAGATTTGCTTAGCTGCTACATAGAATGAAGAACAAGGTGTGGGCGGTTCATCACAGAATTGTGGGCTGATGAGACAGATTTAAGGCCCAATATTTTGGCCCATTACTGATTTTTTATCCAAACAAAAAATCCAAATTTGTTTCTTTTTTATGCTTTTGACTTTTATTTTCCTACCAAGAATACTCAAATTGTATAACTTTTTAAGAAAAAAAATAATTTTAGCTAATTTCCAATTTTAGTTATTAAATTAGGGAGTATATTTTCCTGTATTATTCACATGACTTTTCAAGGTCTATGGTTTCAAGAGCAAGACGACGAGTAATCTTTTTCATTCTTATAACGTAATTAGTTTTTTCTTCGTTTCTAATGAAAAAAATTATAAGACCATCACCATTCGTTCATATTAAAGTGAGGTACTTAAAGGATAATAAAAATATTATTTTATTTATTGAATTTATTTCTTATTTTTTTAACTACTTTAATTTCTAAATCTTTGACATCTGTCTCTTTTTGTTTAGTACCGATTCTCAAACTACTCTTTTGAGTACCGTTTCTTTATTTTCCTTGAACTTTTTTATTTTTTTATCATTTATTTTGTTGAGAGTACCGATAGAAAAACACGAGTAGACATGCCCTAAGATTGCGCTCCCAATCCCATTATACCATTTCATACTATTACAATTTGTAAGCGAATGATATTTCATTGCTTCAAAACAATCATTTATTAGTTCTTTTCACTCGAATAAATATCATCTCCTTAAAAGTCCAGCTATCACAATAGGAGGAGTATACATATCATATCCGTACGTAGTCCAGTTACTACGTTTCTCCTTAACGTACGTTGATACTTTGACTCTTAAGGTTCCTTGTTCTCGTGATCATTCACGAAGGTGAACCTTCCCTTCCTTCTTATAGGGAATCATCATTAATTAGGAGTTGTCCACATGCATTATATATATATATATATATATATATATATATTACAAGCATGAAGCATTCAGGATAGACGTGAAAAGACCTTGTTAATAGCTTTCGAGACATATCCAAAAAAAACCTCAAGAAAGCTCCATCCCATTTATGGCGGATTCAAGCTTTTCTCTTCCTCCTCTTTGCGAAAGGATATCATACAAAAGCTATTATCTAAGAGCTGTGTATCTCACGATTCTCGGGCTTTTCTTTACTCTTCTCTTGCACCGATTCCAAAATGTGAGAGAAAACGACAACGTTTGGCTCGTGGCTTCCCTTTGTGAATCTTGTTTCTCACTTGTATGTCTGCTTCTTACCTGCCTAAAATGGACTCCCGCTGAAACTAAACCTTATCCTGATAGACTTGATGCAAGGTACGTACGTACCTTTTTCATTTATACACACATATTCATAATATATAGCAATGTTATTATTAAATTTGCATAAGTCGTCCTAGGTAGCTGCTACCCAACTTTTCGTTTAATTCTCAAAATCTGTATTATTGTCTATCTTTATATTTAATTGAATTGGCCAATAAACTTTTAAGGGTTCATGACCTTCCTTCGGTAGATATCTTTGTGCCCACGGAAGATCATGAGCGGGAGCCGCCAATTATGGTTATCAACACGGTGCTTTCACTATTAGCTGTAAATTACCCGGCGAATAAACTAGCTTGCTATGTTTCGGACGATGGATGTTCACCTCTCACTTACTTCTCTCTCAAGGAAGCTTCCAAGTTCGCCAAGATTTGGGTACCTTTCTGCAAGAAATACAGCGTTAGAGTTAGAGCTCCTTTTAGATACTTCTTGAACCGTCCGGCCGCAACAGAAAGCTTCAAATTCAGTAAAGATTGGGAAATTATGAAGGTAACATAATAGTTTGATTATCCTTTTGGCGTATGATTGCTTGATTTTAAATTTGTTTTTAATTCCGTATCACTTGGGACTTTCTTGAAAATGTGTTTTTGTGAAAATATAAAGAGGGAGTACGAGAAGTTATGCCGGATAGTGGAAGATGCCACCGGTGATTCCCGGTTGTATGCAGAAGATGACTTTGAAGCTTTCTCAAACACAGAACCAAATGATCATTCAACTATAGTTAAGGTATATATTTCTAAATTAATCTAAGCAAAACTTAATAATCTCTAAATATAGTTATAAGCAAATTATAATCGTGTTATATATATGTGTGTATGCGAAGGTGGTGTGGGAGAACGAGGGAGGTGGAGGAGACGAGAAAGAGGTCCCTCATTTTGTATACATTTCAAGAGAAAAAAGACCAAATAATGTTCATCACCACAAATGTGGAGCCATGAACTTTCTGGTTAATGAATTTTCTCACTATCTCTCATTCTCTCCTAAGTTGTGTCCGTCCGATTAGACCATTACAATATTAGTTAATATTGGAGATTAGTTTTCATTAAATTAAGTAAGGAATTCGTTAAAAATATGATTACCTTCCCCTTTATATTACTAATGTGATATATGGCTGCAAATCACGAATTTTGACGTCCGCATTACTTGTTGAACTGAAAGGGTAGCTAGCCATGCATTATTTGTTTGTTAAGCATGCATATAAAACTTAACAATCATTTATATATATGACAACCATATAATGTGATTTGCAGAAGCCGTATCGATGAATATATATATATGAAGCTGTATTAGAGACTATCTCAGTGATTGATTGTAGATTTTACTTTGTTGTTGTACTAATAAAAATGTGATTAAGCGTAAGATGAAATTTAAACAGGCAAGGGTGTCAGGGTTGATGACAAACGCACCATACATATTGAACGTAGACTGTGACATGTATGCTAATGAAGCAGATGTAGTGCGACTTGCAATGTGTGTATTTCTGGAAAAATCACTGAATCCAAACCATTGTGCTTTCGTTCAATTTCCTCAACATTTCTATGACTCTAATACCGACCAACTCACCGTCTTACAATCTGTGCGGTTTCTCTTTTTCAATCTGCTTATAAATTTCTAATATTAGTAATTCAATGTTATATAACTTATCAATAGATCTTGTTTTTTTTTGTTATATTTACATTAGTATCTGGTACGAGGAATTGCGGGAATCCAAGGACCCATGTACGTGGGCACAGGATGCTTCCACACTAGAAGAGCTATGTACAATTTATCTCCGGACGATTTAGAAGACGATGGAAGTCTTTCTTCAGTTGCTACAAGTAAGAATCAGAAAATCCATAAAGAGACTTTCATTTATTTTTGTCGACCCGACGACCCATAAAGAGACTTTCATATATTACTTCAAAAGCATCATCTACTAAAACATTTCATCGTTTCTATATTAAAAGTAAATCAACTTTGTATATGCCTCATGATTCAGACCATCAATAATGATAGTCTCTTAAGAAAATTTAGACATAAGATTTGTTAAAAAAAGCTCTTATATAAGAGTCATGACCTCTATCTTTTACTAATTAACTCTATTGACGAATAATTGAACATGAGTGTAAAAGATCGTTAGCACTTAGCATGATGAAATTCATACAATATAGTACTAATTTTTTTCTTAATTTACGAATATTGTTATTCGACTCTTCTTCTGTTACTTTTGTTAAGGGGAGCTTTTGTGTGAGGATAAATTAGCAAGAGGGTTTGGGAACTCGAAAGAAATGATGAAATCGGTGGCCGATGCCTTACAAAGAAAACCAAATCCCCAAAATAACCTTACAAACTCCATAGAAGCGGCTCAAGAAGTTGGGCATTGTCACTACGAGCACCAAACCAGCTGGGGCAAAACCGTAATTTGCTTCTCAAACTAACTTTTATAGTCTAATAAGATAGATAATCTTTATATTATTTTCAAGAAGTTTTGGACCTATTAACTCGTAATAATGCGTTATCTTATTATATACAACTCATGCAGATCGGTTGGTTATATGATTCAGTGGCAGAAGATCTGAACACGAGTATTGGAATCCATTCGAGAGGGTGGACTAGCTCATACATTTCTCCGGATACACCTGCGTTTCTTGGTTCTACGCCGCCGGGAGGCCCCGAGGCGATGCTCCAGCAGCGCCGGTGGGCAACAGGATGGATCGAAGTCCTTTTCAACAAACAAAGTCCGTTGCTAGGAATGTTTCGTCGTAAATTAAGATTCCGACAACGATTAGCTTATCTTTGCGTTAGTGTTTGTCTAAGGTCAATCCCTGAGCTCTTATATTGTCTCTTGCCTTCTTATTGCCTACTCCACAACTCTACTTTATTCCCCAAGGTGACTCTCTCTCTCTCTCTCTCGTACGCTCATAATATATATGGAGTTCTTGTTATAAATTTTTGTGTACGGACTATATCAGGGACTTTATCTAGGCATAACAATCACACTTGTTGGGATGCACTGTATCTACACTCTATGGGAATTTATGAGCCTTGGTTATTCCGTACGATCGTGGTATGTCTCGCAGTCACTTTGGAGAATAATAGCCACTAGTAGTTGGTTGTTTAGCATCGTTGATATCATACTCAAGCTTCTTGGAATATCGAAAACGGTGTTTTTTACCACTAAAAAGACTTTGCCCGAGACTAAGTGCGGACCATCTATAAGAAAAGATGATGGTTCAAACTCCGGTAAATTTGAATTTGATGGCTCACTTTATTTCTTGCCTGGCACATTTATTGTCTTGGTGAATCTAGCCGCTTTAGCCGTCTTTTCGATGCGGCTACAACAGTCGGGTTGTAGTCACGGAAGAGGTGGTTCGGGTTTGGCAGAGGCTTGTGGATGTATCTTGGTGGTTACGTTGTTCCTTCCGTTTCTAAAAGGTTTGTTTACGAAGGGAAAATATGGTATCCCATTGTCCACTCTTTGTAAAGCTGCTTTTTTAGCAGTTTTATTTGTTGTTTTCTCTTTCGGAAATTAGTATAAGTGATATAGGTTTGATATGCAAATAAGTTAACTTTATACATGCATTGACTCGATTTGTAATATGAAATTTAATGTTTTTATATATGTATAGTATTTATTATTTTATTTTTTTGGCGTTGAAAATGTTAGCATGAAGGCATGAACTAAATGTGAATTTAAAATGGAGTTATTCTGGAAACATATATGTACGAATATAGCCAGAGCATATAACAATTTGGATTCAAAGTTTTAAAACATTAATCTCATAAGTCATACACATAAAAATATGAACAAGAACAAACAATCAATCTGTCTGTGTTTCTTTTGGTTGTTCAATTTCCTACATCCACCAGTCAGCAGCATCCTTCCTTCGTTATCTAGGTAATGAATCAGAAAAAAAAAAAAAAAAAAACATAGAGATAAAAAAATCAGTGAACAAACATCTCACACACATATTGAAAAAAAAAAAAAAAAGAAGATATATGCAATGCTATAGGACTTGTCCAAGCGTTGATCCAAAGTAGTAGATAGGCCTCCCACGCAGATATCCTCCTTTCCAAGTTGGCCTGATGCATCTTACATTGAGTATGCGCCTCGTAGTTTCCTTCGTCGTAATGTAGCGTTTACTAGGTTACACTCATATAGCTGCACAACATAAAAATAAAATCAAAAATCAAATTAGTAAAAGTAAGGAGAAATAACAAACAAGATTTTTTCGTTTTATTTCTTTGATTACACAAGAAATTTTCCCAATTTCATATCTGAAGGGCTAGAACATGATAAAGAATTGTTGTTGATATATATATATTTCTTGAATTATTATTATTATTATTTTTTTTTATCTACAACGTATCATAGAAAAGGATAAAATCAGTACTCACCTTAGTTTTAGCCGGGGTGGTCACCGCACTATATTTTGCTACATTCACAACAATGAAAAGCTTCACAAATGTTCATACAATTGTACCTTGTTAACTTATATTTCAGGCAAAAGGACAGATAATACATAAGTGTTCGTTAGCAAACAAAGATAATGCAGTTGTGGTTTTCTAAACAACCTCGTTTTCATTCTTCCATACCACCAGACACACACACACACACACACTGATTACTGATAAGTAGCAAATTAAACATACGAAACAGGCTGAAATAAATAGAATCAGTACGTTAAACCGGTGATCATAGACAACAGTACAACAGTAGACTATGTTCGTCTTAAGTTGGGAACGTTACAATATACACAATGAAGGAAAAAAGAAGAAAAAAAACGCTCGAGTAGACAACGTTATAATTTGCCCAACTAGGAGTAAAGGAGCATTACAAGCTAACCCGGCTAGTCTAAAGCTCTAAACAAATTGATAACGTAGGGTATTATAATTCACACACTATGAACTCGTCATGTATTAGTTTTGGGGTTTAAACATTGTGCAGAGCACATAGTTCTTATTAATAAAATCTATATATATAATTTTAATCAAAATATGTATATTAGGCGAATTTAAATTATTAAAGTTAGATAGTATCCTTAACAACGACGACGCTAGCTAGTATATATAATTACTACATGTTGTATACCATGGTAATTAAATACTATAATGGAGAGACTTTTTATGAAGTGGACCATCCATGTCCGCACATGAATAAGGCAACTCCATATGGAAGTCATTGTGCATCAATTAAATTCTCATAGCTAGTCACACAAACCATCTCTCTTCCAAAAGTTTCTTTCAATTCCTCCACTTTTTCTTGTTTGGTTTAATTTCCTCACCCTTTATTATACGAGAAACAACTAAAAGAAAAGAACCAAAAAAAAAAAACAAAGAAGAGAATGAGTAGGTTAAGTCTTGTTTTCTTCTTTGTTCTTCTCTTTGCTCTCGTCTTCGCTTCAAGAATCCATGCTGTTGGACGACGAAGCTTTTCATCCGGACCTTCTAGAAGATACAGAGGTTTTCTCCCCTCTTATGGTGCCATCGGCCCCGGAGAAATCGAACCGGAAAAAAGAAAGATTCCGACGGGGTCAAACCCTTTACACAACAAGCGATAGGTTTTTATTATATATCTTCGCCGCGGCAACAGATAACTATTTTTCCTTCTATATATTTCCTTTTCTTTTCTCTCCCTCTTCTTGTTTATAAACTTAAGACTACTGAAGAGTATAATATGTGAAATGTATATATGTACACATATACAGTATGATGTGTATACACACTCCCATGTAACACAGTGTTGATGTGTAGAAGTTTTTGAAAAGAATTATATTCAAAGTTAAGGTATGCATAACTTTGACAAGATCAATGACGAGTATGATATTTATGTATATGTTAAAATAAGTGTGTAATCCAAAAATATAACTGCTTATATATATATGATTAATGACATTATGGTCTTTCGCTTAGTCGTAACACTAGACATATATTAGTTTGGGTGGGCAAAAACTAATGTAATCAAGTAAAATCTAGGGTGATTTAACACTATTACATTTGTTTCATATAGTACTTGACTATATAAAAAAAACTTGAAATAGATTTGTAAGAGGTTTGATAGATGTAGTAGCTGAATCCACATGCTATGTATTGTTAATCAAGCTTAACTATTATGGAAAAAAGATAATCATCATTATGGGTTGATGTTGAAAATTGTGGTTTAATGATTTGGTTTATGGTTGATTCTGAAATTTGGTGCAAAAGTTTTTAGAGATTTGGTAATCTCATAAATGGAAAAAAAAAAAAAAATGACCAGCTATATTGTTTTTGCTCCGAATTATTTCCATCACTACTTATTTATTTTTTAGTGTTTTGCGCATGCGCATTTGTTTATTCTGCAATAAGGAAAATGATCAACTTTGATAAACAAAATTATTATGCAGTTGAAAAATGGAAAAAAAGGTATAGTTGTTTTCTTGATATCCATGATATACGCATATTACAAACAAAAAGTGCATATTTTTTGTTTCATATAATACAAGTGATGGATGACACTTTCAAAGGATCTATCATGTTCATGTCTATATATTATATTATAAAAAAAAAAACAAAAAAACAAAAACGTTTCTAAATAATATTACAAATTCGAATTTTAATTTTTAATTATTTTGTAATGAGCGCAATAAAAGTAACGAAAAAAGTTTGAGTAAAAGAAAAATAAAATTAGAGCACATCAAAAGAGTCGACTATATAAGATTAGGGGAGTGAAGAGAGTATTGTTTGAAACTCTGAATCATGAACAGAGAAATAAGAAGCATGTCTTGTTGCAAACTCTCGCGACTCTTCAACGTTGTTACTCAGAATCAGAAGAAACCTCCGGTTTTGGTTTCAGACCAAGAAGCAGCCAGAAGAATTAAGGCGTACCTGGTGGACAAATCAAGCATCGGAAAACTTCAATCGAATCCATCACTTCTCTTCAATTTGAATTCAAACGTGACCCGTCTCGTTCTATCTGAACCTACTCTTCCCACTCAATCATGCATCGATTTCTTCAAGTATCTCCGCGGATTCGAATCCAATCTCAAACCCGATCTCACGGCGGTTGTGACATTAGCTCACCGGTTATATTCTAACCGGAGGTTCAGTGAGATGAGAGCTCTGTTGAATTCGGTTGTCAACGACGGGTTTTACGAGCGCCCAGTTGAGAATTTAGGATCAGCGATAGTGGAGTGTGACGTTTCTGAAGAAAAGTTTGAATTTTTGGAAACTTTTTTCGATTTGATGTTTAGGGTTTATGTAGATAACGCAATGTTTGAAGAGGGTTTAAAGGTTTTTGATTATATGGTTAAAAAGGGTTTGAGTATTGATGAAAGATCATGCATTGTCTTTTTGGTTGCCGCGAAGAAACGCCGGGAAATTGATCTCTGTTTAGACTTTTTCCGGCGAATGGTTGATTATGGAGTGAAGATAACTGTTTATTCATTGACAATTGTGGTTGAAGGATTATGTAGAAGAGGTGAAATTGAGAAGAGTAAGAAACTGATGAAGGAGTTTTCTCGTAAAGGGATTAAACCTGAAGCTTATACTTACAACACTATTATTAATGCTTATGTGAAAAAGAGAGACTTTTCTGGCGTGGAAAGGATTTTGAAGGTGATGAAGAAGGATGGTGTGGTGTATAATAAGGTTACTTATACACTTTTGATGGAACTGAGTGTCAAGAATGGGAGAATGGTTGATGCGGAGAAGCTGTTTGATGAAATGCGTGAGAGAGGAATAGAATCTGATATCCATGTGTATACGTCCATGATAAGTTGGCATTGCAGAAAGGGGAATATAAAAAGAGCGTTTTTGTTGTTTGATGAATTAACAGAGAAGGGGATTTCGCCAAGTAGTCATACTTACGGAGCGCTTATCGATGGGGTGTGTAAGGTAGGGGAAATGGGTGCAGCTGAGATATTGATGAACGAGATGCAAAGTAAAGGAGTTAATATCACTCAAGTGGTACTGAATACATTGATTAGTGGGTATTGCAGGAAAGGGATGATTGATGAAGCATTAACAATTTATGATGTGATGGAAAAGAAAGGGTTTGAAGCTGATGTTTACACTTTGAATACGATTGCTAGCTGTTTGAATAGATTGAAAAGGTATGATGAGGCAAAGCAATGGCTGTTCAGGATGATGGAGGGTGGTGTGAGGCTTAGCACGGTTAGTTATACTAATTTGATGGATGTTTACTGCAAAGAAGGGAACGTTGAGGAGGCAAAGAGGCTATTTTTGGAGATGGGCAGCAAGGGAGTACAACCCAACGCTATCACATACAATGTGATGATGTATGCGTATTGCAAGCAAGGGAAAGTAAAGGAAGCCCGTAAACTAAGGGCTGACATGAAAGCAAAAGGGATCGATCCGGATTCATATACCTACACGTCACTCATACACGGGGAATGTATTGCTGATAACGTGGACGAAGCAATGAGGCTCTTTAGCGAGATGGGGTCGAAGGGTTTGGACCAGAATTCTGTAACATACACGGTGATGATCTCGGGTTTGTCCAAAGCTGGAAAATCAGAGGAAGCCTTTGGGTTGT